CATCGTATGGGAAAGGTGTGGGAACTATATTATACGCATATTCATAAAGTAGGGTTTTTGTCTCACAATTACAAATACAATGTAATATGCAAACATGCTACCTATAATAACGATAACTTGAACTGCATAGTCAATTTACTTTTTATACATACTAGCTACAAATCTAAAATTCTTATTTAATTAATCCCTGAGGTACAGTAACTTCTTTATTATTATAACGAGGGAAACATGCCAGAAGGACGTATCAATAAAATTATTGATTTACGCATTTCTTTTAAAATTATAAATTTTTTGCGTTAATACACCCATATATAACTGTCTGTATCTATTGTCTAGAGCAGCATTACACCTCACTATTTTATGTTCTTAGACGAAATATATCCGATTATGTAAATATGTTGATAAGTCGTTCTGGTATGGTGCCCTCGATATACACTTTATCATAACAAACATTTTAAGTGCTTCGAAGTTGTTTACATGTAATTGTATGTTATATCGTTAATGCATTTTGACCCATAGATTTCAGTAGTAAGATAATTAGTCTGTCGCAAATATTATAGAGACCACTAGACTCTAATGGTAATATAACTTCGTGGTCGTGGTGTCTGTATTGCTTAATTACGTTCGTATTTATGTTGACGTATGCTGTATTCTATACAGACGCTTCGTGAGAGTCGCAGACTCATGTTTTAACGCGATTAAAATTGTCGTTTGTATTTATGTAATAGAAGTCTGTCTGGCATAATTACATATTTATTTACATAGCTGTTAAATTTATTTAATTTTGATTCCAATGTAAAGCTGAACATGCAGTGTAACTCACTCATGCCCTAAGCCAGTGTTGAACTGCGCGAATCGAAATTAAGTCTCTAGCCGATTTAATAACATAAAAGACTTGAATGAAACGCACTACGACAGCTTTTAATAATGAGTTTTATTACGGGTGTGGACACGGACAGAATTTTACTTTATTATTCAGCAAAATATTTTTTTAAAATTCTTACTGGATCATTTAGTAAGCAGAGGAATTCTATGTATAATTTTTTTTTTGTATTTCCTATAATCCCGTAATTCTTTACATTGTAATAGCTTCTGTCCTTAGCACCCGCAGTAAACCGAGGGCAATTGAAATGTTCATCAATGAGAATTTGGAAAAACTTCAACTAACACAGACGGAAGAAATGCGGCTTTTGAAACAGTCAGTTTGCTGTTAAGAAAGAACAGAGCAGGCATGTCTCTTCCTTTGTTCTCCGAGAGAACTCTTATTTTGGCTCCAAAGAGATCAAATATGAATTCACAATTCTTCACTACACAAGAAGGTGATTATGCTATCCTTATGTGTAGAGATAAAATAGTCCTAAAACAGGAAACCAATTATAATATACAAGACTAGCCGTCCGAAGTTAAAGGCATCGGATTAATGCTGTTATGCATTAGGAAACAATTTTCTGTGATGATTAAGACTCCGTACTACGCAGATATTCTGCATTAGTGTCACTAAAATCTTATCTCTTAGTGACTTGAAAATGTACACGCCCACTTCATAATTCCTGTTCGTCAGTGTAACGCTACAAATCGGTTCTTGTCGAATGTTTTTCTGCAGACATGGACATTGTAATCCGTGGGGTTTGAGGTTTTCGTGGCAGTGAAAATATTTATAGCGGACTTCCAGGTTGTGGCTTAATGTGAACTTGGTAATGAAGGAGCATACTTCTTTCATCTTGAGGGAGATGGTGACAGTATGTTCCACTAAAACTTTGGTAACTCCGTACAAGTCCAAATGCTGTTATAGCCCGGGAAACCACAATGGACGAATATGATATCCGTTAATATGGCTGTCTTCTAGATGTAGTGCCGTGCAGTCTGATAGAAGTTTTCCAGTGTCTGAGAGGTCCTTGCTGCCTCCACGATCAGGACGGCCTTTGAAACGTTGATAAACTTTTACCCGAGTGCAGACCACTACAACCCATAAGACAGACATATTCGTCATCGCTGCCGTGAGAACCCCAAATCCTACAGAACAAGTTACTAACAGCACTTCAAACGTGACGCCAGAAATATCCCAATTTTTGTCAAACTTTTGTTTTAACAAGATAATCCTTCGTGAACGGTGCGCGTCCGTCCGTCCGTTCGTTTGTTTCATCTTGTATCCCCCACGCGGCTGAACACATTGTGATCGCATTTACTGTGGAATGGAAATTCAAGCGTTTAGTTAATCTTTTAGCCTAGCTTTGAATTAAGCCAATATCTGGGTAGGGAACATGGAGTCATTTCTAAAACCTCTTATGTGCTGAAGTGGGAGACTTCTTTTGGGTGACACAACCGAATTTCTCTGAGGAAGTATGTCCTTGAATCACATCGCCTAATTAGCATTGTTACTTTAAGGTCTGAATTAACTTTGTTAAATATTATTTCAATTAACAAAGTATAAAAACATATCATTGTCAAATAGAGGGACATAATTTTTTTTAATACCTTAAGTGAATCCCAATCATAAGATCTAGAGATTACAAGATCATTCCTGTGTAATTATTTTTGTAATATATGTTGTACCATTGACAATTTTTATTGTTTTTAAACGAAATTTTGACTTCATAGATTTTTATGGAAATAGAATTCATCTTTTATTTTTTAATTTTCATAACCTGAAGGGGTTTCATTCTCCTGCGATTCTTAAAGATCAAAGTGAATCGTATTTTGTATTCAAATCCGCAGTGTAAGTAAGTGAAAGTCAAAGGAAATGTTTGAGTCTACTTAAAATTGGTTGTCGACTTGCGGTACACCTCAGGGTTAAGAGCTCGAATAGCTCAGTCGGTGGTTAAGGGCTGGACTGTCCATCCAACCTCCGGTAAGAGGTGCAAGTGATTGGCCCTATCTAGTGCCAGGATTAAGAAAGCTTGGAATATACTTCCAATTTTCCATAAACCTTTATGACATTATCAATTAAGCACAGGGATCTCGGTATCGTTTTGTGTCTCTGAGTAAAACGTAATTTCTTAAACAATTCCTTCTTAGCTACATTTGCGTTGTCACCGTTGCTTCTCTTAATGGCTTTTTGCGTTCTTGTCACATCCTCCAGTTTTTGGAAACAACGATCAGTGCATTTCGTCCCATGTCACTGTATTACTTCAAATTTGTGCTGGAAACAATTGTTCTGCAAAAAGAAATATATTTCTTATCGTGTTCTAAGAGTGTTAGTATGCAATTTAATCCATGAACGAGCCTGGTACTGCTTTATTAAAGACATGACAATCTGATAGCGATACGAGCAAACAGACTTTAGATGGGCCTAGACCTACACATAAGTAGGTTACGCCATTATTTTATGTGTAAGTGTTCTTTCTTAGGAAGAGATGTTTTATGCACAGTTTGGTACTTCCAAATTATTTTAGTTTGTTATCTTAGACTAAAGTGTACAGGCTCGTAATAACAGGAAGGAAATTTAAATCACTTTCTTAATATGTTAACTCCATAATATCTCCGTCTTCTGTCTCAGTGAAATCGACTGAAATAGGACCGCATCTGTTGGATGCTTCCATTACGGAACCAGGCGTAATTTTACTTACACTGCACTTAAACTACAGTAGTGCTAGGAACTTATTATACTGGAATGCACACATATGCGACTCTCTGTTGAGAGAAAAGAAAGATATTTAGTATTTAGGATTTGCGTTTCTCACAGCGGTGAGTCTTAAGATGGCTGTCTTCTGGGTTATTGCGCCATGTAGTCTGGTAGTATTCATTATTTAAAGAAAATACCCTTTATTTACGTGTAACCGGGATTCGCTGTTTCAATTCTGGACTCAGTGGATTATGTACATCTGTGATTAAAATTGTATTCTTCATAATAAGTAAGTACGGACGAAACTATACTAAACCATAGTCTTGATCCTTCGTTTTGATCGGGCACTGTCGAGGTCCTTTTTCCACGCAGTATTTTTAAGCATTACTCAAATAAAATATCTGTCGTAAAAGGGAAAGCATATTACTTTCTTTCGTAGGATTTGAGGTTTTCACGGCCGTAAGTCTTAAGATGGCTATCTTATGGGTTTTTACGTCATGTAGTCTGGTAAAAATTTTCCGACGTATCTGAGGTCGTTGATGCCTCCATCATCAGAGCCCTGATGATAGTTGGCAGCGTACCGGACTATACGACGTAGCAACTCAGAAGACAGCCATCTTCTCACTTTCATTTGTTGAGGTTTTCTAAACGTTAATTTTCTCCAACATGTGGCGAACTTAAGTTGTGTTACAAATATATAAAATGGTGAGTGGGATTTTAAGTGAAAAGTTTCTTGATATTTCTTAACTACAACGTATATTTTATATCAACTTGTTGCAATCAACACTTTTCATTGTTTTTATTTTTCTGTATGCATGAAGGTTACGGCTTTGAAAAGCCGTCCTCAGTGCTTGTCTCGTAGCCTGTTGTCTATCAGCTGTAAATATTAAACATATAATAAATAAGTTGTGTATGATTTTTAAATAGAATTCTATACGCTCAGTCATAATGCATACAGGTCTTACTTATTATGTAAACTACGACTATCTAAGAAAGTTGTGTAATTGTAACATAAAAAGTACTAATCATACAATAGAAACACTGAGGATGTCTCAATAAAGCCGAACCGCGTATACCGAAAGAGTAAAACAATAACGATTTGTTGGTAGTAAAGATGAAATAAAACAAGCTCAAGTAGAAGTTGAAAAGTTGAAGCTATTAAATATATTCTGTTTCTTTTCGAATATCGGTGTGGATGGTCGTTTGTATTCTAATTTTGTTTTGAATTTCATACCTGAGACGTTTTACTTCATTTCATTTAGAAAAGAAGAAATAATTAATACACATAACAAAATCTCGTGAACGTCTGATTTTAGATTGTCGTGCCGTCATACTGATAAATAATAAGACGAAAACTCAGAAGTGTGATGTGCCATCGTAAGTTTTAATTTGACCCATATGCGTAGACACTACAAGGGAAGATTACATATCAGTGGAATCAAGATATGCTTGTAAAGTTTCCCATTTGCTGTGATGAATAGACTAGTAACGTAACAGGTACCCTTCTCGAACATCAGTCTTCCATATGTGCTCAAATAACATTTATTCTACCACGCGCATGTAAAGAGTTTCTGTTTGATTTGTGTTCATGTTGTGGGAGGTGAAAATATGAAAACTGACATCGAATCAAATTACATAGTAAGTGTTTCCATTTAACAGTGGTCACTAGTTATTTTCTTCTGCAATCGTAAACTCGCAACTTCACGTCTTTGTAACACGTACAGTACAAACAAGGCTGCGTGTTATATTGAGCTGAATCATGAAAGTTTTACTGAGTACTTTGCAGTTAAAACCCGAATATCGATATTAAATAACACTTCATCGACTTTAGTCAGTGGTCTGTTGCTGTTGGTGACATCTCTTGGCTGTTTTCGTTACTTAGAGGTGCAACTGTAACGTCACTGTTGCTGTGAGCACTTGTTGGTGAATTACTTCCACTACTGACACCTCCAAGATTTGAAATATTTGTACTAACAACAACACCACCAGCTCCACCATTTGTAATAGGTTCTGTAGGTATCAAACCTTCTTTCATTCGTTTCTTCTGTTTCATGCGACGATTCTGAAACCAGATTTTTACTTGCGTTTCGTTTAGCTGCAAAGCAGAAGCTATCTCGATTCTTCTCGCGCGTGTCAGGTACTTGTTGAAATGGAATTCTTTCTCCAGTTCTGTCAGTTGCTTGTTCGTGAAGTTTGTTCTTCCAGTGTTGTTGAGGCTGTTAGGGCCCCCTAGGACTCCTCCGAGGGTCCCAGTTCCCATGAGACCTCCGCTACTGACATTGCAACCTCCCATGCCTACTCCGGGACTGTTGACTAGACCGCTTCCGTACCCGCCGCTTGTGCAGGTCACGGCGCTGTAGTCGCCGAGTGAGGTGACTGGCTTCGGGGCTGCAAAATGTAAGAAACGACATGAAATTTGTATATCAGTGACAGAAAATGTAATTAAGCCCTTGGTTTTTATCTCTCGAAGCACGCATTTATTTTAAATAGTACTTTAGCCTAAAAATCCAGAACATAATTCAAAGAACATAATGCTTTCCGTTAACGAAGATCAGTTGGTGCTGTTTAGAAAAATAATCATTGTTTATTTTAAATCACATTAAATCCACAGATACATAGTAATCAGCTTTGAGAGTTAAAACATTTTGATTTTATTGATATTAGTATGCTTTAAACAGTTAAAATCAAGCTTCAACTTAATGTGAACATAATAATAATAATGATATAACTGAATAATAATAATAATTCATTTTTTTTATCTGCCAATATTCTTTCTAATACGTGAAGATTAACGTACATAAAACTATAATTTTGCATGCTGACTTAAAATACATGGTTTGTGTTATAAGGAAATGACATGCTAGTAAGTCGAGGGTGTTTTAAGAACAAGATGGCGAGGAGGAAACAAATAGTAAAAATTTTGTGACGACATTCGCAACGGTTTCTAAAATCCTCTCGGACCATAGGGTGCAGCATATGATTAAAATAAAATTTTCTTTAAAAAATTGTTATTTTCCTTATGAAGGCGACAGAGATGGGTCCCGAAACGTTGTTCTCTTTTGACCGCTTGACATGAATGATGGATCAAGGAAATTTTATTGAGTTTAGGCACCGTGAAACTTATTCAAATCATATTTTATAAACGTCGGTTTACAAGTCCACGGTTATTAAGGAGATCTTAAAGACAGACAGGTAAAAATTTACAAACTCATTATCATTGCTGTCTCATACGAAAAGTAAATATAGGTAATAGATAAGTTGAGTATATAGAACGCCAGGAATATCCCGGCTCCTAACCGCAATTGCGCTCCATTTTGTTTGCATCCGTAGGTGTGAACGCTCTCACTAGCCTTCGCCCAAGGTGTGAGATAAACAGGAACCGTGTGTTCGGGGGGGGGGGGTTGCA